TTCTCGGCTGATCGCGAGTCGGCCTTGCGCGAGCCACGCTTGTGCTTGAGCTCGTCCTCGAGCTTCTTGAGGTCGGTTCCGGAGCTCTTACAGATCTCCTTCATGTCGGCGGAGTCCTTGATGAGGGCCATGATGAGGTGGTCGATAGCGACAAACTGGTCGCCGTTCGCCTTCTGCAGCTTCTGCGCCTCCTTCAGGACGGAGTGGTACGACTGGGTGAGGGGGAGAGGGGGAGTCGGCGGGGGGTCGATGACGGGGCACTTGTTGAGCTTGGAGAGCGTCTGGCGACCGAACGCCTGGACGTTTCCGCCAACCTTCTCAACGGCCTCGTGCAGCAGCGTCGGCTGCTGCGGAGCGAGGTCCGCTCCCATGTCGGGCTCCCATAGCGTCGCGATGAGGTGAACCGGGGAGACTGCGATCCGTCAGCTTTCTAAATCTCGTGCGACATCGATCGGCGATCAGAAAACAACTCTTCCCCCTCGACGTGGGAAGGTTGTCGACTGTGACCGAGGTGTCCGAAAACTCACCTTGGGAGTTGTGGTGCTCCTCGGCGAGGTTGAACGAGGACTTGATAGCCTCGGACGACTTGTCTGTGAAGTTGTCCATTATAGATTAAAGATGTTTGGGGGTATTACTGTGGGGAGAGGGAGGAAAAAGAGGAAACGGTGGTTCGGGCAGCGATGGTATTAATATCAGCGATGCAGAGAGTTGTGATCGTGGGCAATCCTGCGGGCTGGGGGCTAGCGAGGGAAGCAGCATGACGTCAACTGATCGTGCAGTGTGCCCAGCGGAGGATTCGACGTCATCCGAGCCCCTCCTGCCAGGTGCTCCTTGGTCCTCGCAGGTGCCGTACGGTGGGAGACGGTTCCCAGGTACGCGAGCGCCCGCGAGCCCCTGCGAGGCATGGCTGGATTCTTCTAGGTTCTAGCAGCAATTTCCGACGCCCGGGGCCAATCATCGTCCGCGGCTCGTCGGTTCAGGGTCCGACCACGGTCAGCGCACGTGGGAGACCTCCCGGGCCGTTGATCGGGACCGCTCGCTTGATTGGCTCTGCAGGGTTCGAGTGTCCAGGATGCTCGGTCACCGCCAGGCCGTGCACCGAGCCTTTCATTGCAACCCTCGTCGACCCCGACGTTTTGAGACACTCATCCAGCCCAATCATGCACTACCACCCCCTCCTTGCAAACCCATGCAACCCCATGCGGGCCATGCGGGTCGCCTCGGACCTGCTGTCACGCTTCTCTTTCGGCAAATCGCAATCGGCGCTTCGGTGCATACGTGAGCCTGCCTCTGTCCCATCTAGGCCCACCCGCGGAGCGTGCGCAGTTATATCTGGCCCAGTCGCACCAGAGGGTTTGAGGGGCTGTACGGGCGCCTCGCCGCCGCGATGGCGAGAGCTTGTCGCATTCATGCTTCAGAGTGGCGGGCTACGGCGGACACCGCTGAGTGGGCCGCGACGACAGCATTGGATCGGCAGATGAAGCGACAGACGCCTCCAGCAGCGCCTGCAGTGCGGGGGCTTGAACGCCACGGTGCCACTGCACGCCGCAGCACGAATGATTCCGACAAACCCTCTCGTCCACTCACCACATTCCGAGGGGAGGGCTGCTCGGCTGCTCCATCCCCGCCGATGACATGCATGCGATTTGTCCGTGCATGGGCCATATCTGGACTCTGTCGATCTTTTCGCTGACATCACAAGAGATCGACATGGAAGGCACCCTCGACAAAGATGCACCACCACATCGGAAAGTAGTCGGAAAGACTGGATCTCAAATGGCGGCAAGCAGTCCGTAACTGATCTCAAATGTGTGCCACTGGTGTCCTCGTCATCTCAAATGCTTGTCTCTGCACTTGCCGCGTCCATCTCGAATGCTAAACTGGGAGTTCTGCCGACATACTTCCAAGCGAGAGCAAGGGTTTTCGGACATATGAGAGCGGCCCATGCGTCGGGGTTGCGGCTGATCGGCGGACCCCGCCCCATACCTCGGTGACTGGTTGTTAGGCAGTGTGAGCTAACTCACTGAACCCTGGCGCTAAGCTTTGCCGTGTGCACGCGCAAAATGCCTCGCACGATCGCAGCTTTGGACGGATTCGAACCTGCAATCGACTTCCCACTTGTGCCTCGTCGATCCGCTATCTCTTATCCCATCCCCGCCTTTTCGCACGTGACTGACACGAGACGCTCATGACGCTATTGTTGCTACCGCGAATACCAGAAGTTGACCTCAGCTCGCTCCGCTGTTGTTGCACTCGTTGTCTTCCTCGCCGCCCGTACAGGCGCTTTCGCTCTCTTATCATGCCTGCCGACGAACCTTACGACCCCGCGCAGTCTCCGGCTTCGGTACTCGACTCTGACGATGACCTCGACCGCCCCGGCCCCTCGAAGAAGAGCCGGAAAGGGAAGGACAAGGCGAACGGCAAGAGCGTCAACGCTTGGGAGGAGACGTACAAACGATCATGGGACGTCGTGAGGGAAGATGAAACGGGAGGGCTGCAAGCTGCTGTAGACCAGCTCATTGCCCGAGGACGAAGAAAGCGGTAAGCTAGAGAGGCTTGCCCCGTGAGCTAACATCAGTGCCATCCTTTCGGAGGCGCCGTTGCGACGATCACTGGTGCGGCACATGTTCGTCGTTGTCGACCTCTCGGACTCGATGAACGACAAGGACTTCCGTCCCACAAGGTGAGCTTATAGGTCGACTCGATAGCTGACGGCAGATTTGAGGTTACGCTGCAGTACTTGCGCTCCTTTGTCATTGAGTGGTTTGACCAGAACCCTTTGGGACAGATTGGCATCATTCTGCTGCGGAATCGTCTGGCCCAGACATTGGTGCCGATGTGCGGTGAGCTTCGAGTGGGTGGTGCTGACAGCTAACGTCAGGCAACCCGCAGGAAATCATTGAGGCACTGGCGGACAAGCGCAAATTGGAGCCGGCTGGCGAGCCCAGTCTGCAAAACGGCCTCGTTATGGCGCGGGGTGGTATGTCGCACCTTCCCTCGACATCTTCCCTCGAGGTTCTGGTTCTGTTCAGCGCCATCTCGACCGCCGACCCAGACGGTTCTATGAACATCCACCAGGTACTTGACGAGCTCGTCTCCGCCCGCGTGCGCGTTACGATCATCAGCCTGAGTGCCGAGATCAAGATCTGCAAGCAGATCGCAGAGCGGACAGGTGGTCGCTTCGGCGTAGCCATCGACGAGGACCACTACAAGGAGCTGCTATGGGAGACGATTCCGCCGCCGGCACAGACGATAACGGCGCCTGTGACTGCAAATGTGCGAGAGGCGCTCGCGCGTGGCGGACGTCAAGCTCCCGGTGCTCCGAAGCGACCGCCGCCACTCGGCGACCTGCTCGTCATGGGCTTCCCTACCCGCCTGCCAGGAGCGGGCGAGAGCTTCTGCGCGTGCCATGGCCTCCTAAAGCGCGGGGGATACATGTGCCCGCGCTGCGGGGCGAAACTATGCGACGTACCGACAGACTGTGAGGTGTGCGGCCTCATGGTCGTCAGCAGCCCGCATCTGGCGCGATCGTGAGTTGCGTTGTGGAAGATGGTTAACTCACTCCAGATTCTGGCTCCTGTTCCCGGTGTCCAAGTATGACACACTCGGTCGCGGCGTGCTCAGCAAAGAGGCGGTGCGCGCCGAGTGCTTCGGGTGTGACGCGCCATTCCCGACCGTGAGTTACAGGAAATTGGCCGGTAACTGATGGACAGGCGGAAGAGCTTGCGGATGCACCGATGCCGCAGGATGAGAATATCTCCTCTAGTGGACGATACCGGTGCGCCAAGTGCAAGAACGACTTCTGCTCAGACTGCGACCTCTAGTGAGTTATAAAGGGCTGCTCAGTGCTAACTCTCAGTGTTCACGAGACGCTGCACACTTGTCCAGGGTGCTCCCAGTAGATCTGGTAGACTAAAGAAAAGACAGAGAAGTCGATGGGGCTCCTATGGCGAGGTCGCTAGCAATGTATGCATTTTCTACAATATTCTAATACAGATTCGGAACTCCGAGCCAAGGTCAAGTCGAAACATCGCTTAGTACTTATGTCTCGTCGAGTAGTCCTTGGGCGCGACGACGAGACCACGACCCTTGGAAGCGCCGCGATACACCGTCTCGATGATATCGATCATTTCCTGCTTGTCCGTGATGGCCCAGTTGATCTTGTTGTTGTTACCGGTGCCGAGGTCGATCATGATGTGCTTGTTGCGGTAGAAGAACATGAGCGTGCAAGGGTCGTAGAGCTCGTACATTTTCGTAAAGTCGGGCACCTCGGTGATGTCGACGAGGTACGTGATGGCAAAGTTCTGCACCTTCTCCGACACGGCGTACAGCGTCTCGTCCATCGCCATGCACTCTGGGTCGTGGTCGTGCCCGAAGCGGATGCACACGACGCGGTCCTCCTCGACGAGGATCGCCTGGTCGACGTGCCACCCGGAGTGGAGACTGGGGTTAGCTGTGTCTGCAAGCTGTGATAGCTGAAGTCGCAGTACGCAAGCGCTCGTCGAGCGTTGAAGCTGAGGTGTAGAAGGAAGGGGGAAGGAAGGGGGGAAGGACCCCGGCACAATGAAGCACGTCCACAGCCGCTCGAATAGAGTTGGTCTGCGCTCTGCTCTGCGGGAGGGAAACGGAGGAGGAGGCGAGAAAACTCACTGGGTCATGAAGTACGACATGGCGACAGACTAGCCTCTACGGCGCGGGTTGTGGTCAAACGAGACGAAGAGTGCAAGTCAAGTAATTTCAGTGGCAACACAACCAATCTTTGCACTTCTGTGACGCAAGCTGGGGGATGGTTGCCGATTTGCTTCCGCTGACCGCTAGTGGCGATCGATCCAGAAGTCTTCGATCGCGAGCGAGCCGTCAATCCTCTGTGAACTTGGCAGCAGTGAAACGACAGTACCATAAAGACATGCATTGCAGAGAGACATTAAGATGAAGATTGGGTGTGTGTGTGTGTGTGTAATGCTACATATTCTAGTAAATCTACACTTTCGCAAAGATGTTCCTGTCCTTGCTCATCTTGGCCGCGAACATGCAACACATGCTCACGGCAAGACAGCCGGCTCCAAACCCAATAGCGCCCGGGAAGCGGGCGAGCATCTCCTCATTCGTGCCCGTGCCGATGATGGCGCCAAAGATGGGCGGACCCGTGAGCTGGGCAATACTCTGTCCGAGCAGGCTCTGGCCAATAAGCGTGCCGGCGAGGTGCGGGTCGATGCCTGCCGCCGTCACCATGGGTCCCTGGAGCGACACGGGGGCGCCAGACGCGAATCCGAATAGGACACAGAGTGCAATGACGGCGCCTGCGCTCTTCATCGCGAGCCAGCAGAAGAGCAAGATCACCATGACCGCACATCCCGTGAAGGCGACGTTGTACGTGCCCAGCCTGTCTGCCGCGAGACCGCCAAAGACGCGCCCGAACCCGGAAGAGCCATTCACAATCATGAGCAGGTACGGGGCCAGGTCACCCAGGCCCGCCACGGTGCCGTAGGTGCCGATGAAGGTCAGGAAGGAGAAGAGGCTGAAGACGAGGAAAGGGAAGGAGAGGCACACGAAGAGATACACGGGGTTGCGGAACTCTTTGAACCAGAAGAAAGGGCCTGGCGAGCGCGGCGGGAGACGGGTGCGGATCAGGATCGTCGAGGTCACGCCGAGGAAACCCATCAGGAGCGCAATGACGCGCATCGTCCACCCGAACCCGATCTTTTGCGGGAGGTTGGCCACGATCGCGGGCCAAATGATCGCACCGGCGCTGGAGCCCATCATGACGATGCCGCTGGAGGTTAGCGCTGAAAACAAACAGAGGACGTCACTTACAAGGCGAGACCGCGCTTGAGGAAGAACCACTGCCCGACCGCACCCATCGGCACGATGAACATGAGGTCCATGCCCATTGCCATCAGGGTGGCGTGGCACAGGAAGATCTGGTAGTACTCCTTGCACAAGCTGAGGAGGCAGAAGCTGAGCACGAGGAGGAACGTTCCCGTCGCCAACAGAGGTTTCGGGCCAAATCGGTCAAACAGCGGGCCGGTGAAGAGACACGTCGAGAAGCAGATGGCAGCCTGGGCCGATCCGATCCACGCAATCGTACTCGAGGAATAGCTCGAGAGGAGGTCCTGGTGGTAGTACGACTGGAAGGCACCGACACTCGCGGCGAGTCCGAAGGCGCAAAACGATGCACACACTCCGCCGAGCAGGACTGACCACGCCGCAAGCCCGCCGTCGGGGTAGGCGATCTCGTGCCCGTCTGGCTGGATGTTGACCGCGACTTCCTCCTTGCCCTCGGGCGTCTCGACGTCGACCGTCTTCTCCCATCCTCCCTCTGGTACCGACTGGATAGTCGTCGCGTTCGATTCTTCCCGGCGTAACGTGTGTGTTGAGAGGACAGTGCCGGACCTCTCTCGCCGGCGGTCGAGGACCTCGTCCCCTGGCTCGGGGAGGTTGATCAGCGCCGCGGGGTCGAGGAACGTGCGGTTCGAGCGCTGGCTCATCCGCGATGCCTGGCGCGTGAGTCCCGCATCATCCTCGGGATTTGGCTGGGGCGTGTGCGCAGGTGTTGAGTGCGCTGTGGTGTGTGCCGAATCGGCGGGCGTGTTATGTTGGGAGGCTAGCCGGGCCAGCGGCGCGAGAATGCCAGAGTGGTGGTGCTTCTTCGACGACCCGCGACGGATCTCGGGTAGAGCCTGAGGGTGCCCATGCTCGTGCTCCGAGTGGTCCGAGGTTACACTGTCTCCATCGTCAAAGACTGGCGGCAGACTCGGCACGCCTGGTGAGGGTGTTCGTATTCCGGCTGGAGGTGCCTGCAAATGCGACGAATTTGTGGCCCCTGTGGCCCCAGACGCCCCCGATGGCGCGGGGGACGCACGCCTTGAACTCGGCTTCGACATCGCGCTACGGCTCTACACGAAGGAGCGCGTCTGTGTCACCACAGTCGCGATAGGAAGGAGGAGGCGGTGGGAGATGCCGCGGATATCACCAAGTTACCGCCGGGAATACCGAGGCACTGGGAACGTGGAGTGAAAGGTATTGTTGGAAAATCTGGGTCCAGTCTTGGCTCGCCGGTCCTACTGGCGTACGCTTGCCCACTTCCGATTATCTGGTGTCGTCTGCTAGAGGCCGCACCAGATTCAAGCTGAGCGGAGTATCGTTTCCGAGAGGCGACAACCCGGTGATGTTGTAGTTATATGTATGCTTGCAAAACTGCACACCGCGCCCGCTTAAGCTTAGTCAGGCTTCGAGCCCGGGTCAATCGTTCAGGCGTTCAGGCTGGGGTTTACCAGTTCCTAGGTCACAGGGCTAAAGGAGTTCGCTGTACCCAAGTGCGAAAAGCGAAGAAACACGGAGATGTCCGGGCCGGCGTTCTCGCCCGCCCCGCACGCCTGATCGGCGGGGCCGGCGGCCCCGGATCTCTCGCATCTTATCAGAACGGCTCGGAGCGATCAGATAACGATACGGAAGCTGTCCAAGCCATCGACGGGTCCAGTACAGGCAAAGGAATGCACCTGCAGAGGTGCTAGAACACGTCGTCGAAGCCATCGATGGCGATAGTCCAGAATTCCCCGCAATCTAGGAAGTCCCCGCACCTCCGCTGAAATTTCGGACTTCTCCGTGATCGCGGCGTAATGCCAAACCGCTGGGTCATGGGTTGTCAGTTGGAACGCGTCTGAACGGGCCGCAGGACGGGCCGTGAGTCGTCGGTGACTCATGCTGACACGCGGAACTGAGCACATGTCCCCGGAGCCGCCGTTTGACTGTTCAGCTGCTCATGGCTCGCACCATGATCGATCATGGAGACGCGGACCGGACGGCATCCGGCGCCGGACCACCTAGCGCGGTGGGACGACCGGCGATTGTAGTCTGCCGCAGGTGGCGTGCAGCGCTTAGCAAACTGGGGCTGAAGACGATGGGTGGCAGGTAGAGGCGCGAGTTCTCTATTGGCAGTGCTAGCAGTCAGCCACGCATCATTTCTTCGCCGCCTCGTCCTTTCAAGTGTTGCGCGAGAGCAGCACATGACAATAATTGGCGCAGGTCGCCACTGACACAGCCGAATGTGGCTGCACGCTAGCATACCTCGCTGCGACAGAGAGGGAACCTGAAGTGATCTGCAGCTCGAGAGTTGAGTTTGCTTCCCCTCGGTGGGACATTAGTTTGGCATGCGAGACATGCAGCCGTCAGGGAGGTCAGCGTGAGGACCCTCGAAAGCTTGAAGCCAAGGCTGCACGATGAGGGTGCGAGAGGGAGGACACAGCTGCTGCGCTCAGTTCTGGGGACCGTCCACGGGGGATAGAGTTGGCACCCGCGGGGTCTCCAAGTCTGAGGCGACGGCAGGCGACGGCAGGCGACGGCAGGGCTTCCGGGATATCAACCAATGGACGTCCGGAAGAGCGTTCATGTTGACATGACTTGGCTTGCTTGAAACCTGGATTGGGGAGTGGGGAGGAATGGGGGAGCGGAGGTTCGGGCCGAGTGACGGGATGGCGTACGCTTCTACCTGAAGCGGCGTGCAGAGAGAGAGGACTCCCCCGTTTGCGCTCTGAAACGAAGGAACGAGGTTGTAACAAGTGTCGAGCTAAGTTCATTTCAAGGATTGAAATTGATCGCTCACCCGTTTTCGGTCTCAGGCACATACTTCATGCCCCCATCCTCAGGCTCAATGTGTTCCCAGCCTGCTCCAACTTCGCAGTCGCTGTGCAGTTGCTTCCTTCTCCAGTGTTCCGATGTAGACCTGCCCGAAACAGCAAAGCGCCAACGTGAATGTGCGCGCCGAGAAGTCTTGGTATGTAAGCGAACGCCGACGCCGACAAGCCTGTGAATGGCACTTGCAGCCGAGCTCTGAGCCGATAGGGGGGAGCCCTTGTACTCCTGAGCTATGTGTGTTGCCAGGCAGCCTCAGCGGTCCGCTTCGGCGATTCGTCCAGCATCCGTGTCACAAACTTAGAACGCGGACGACAACGCAGCCTGCAGTGCCTCTGTAACGGACAGGGACAAACGAACATGTTGCTCAATCAGCAAGTGTTTTGTCGTGCTTTAGAGTGTTGCGCACTGACCGTTTCAGGACGGTGGTTCAATAGTTACGTAAACGGCGATTTGTGTATCTTTCCCGCCGCCGCTGTCGTAACGAACGAACGACCAATCGATCAGAGGCAGCCTGAGACCACCTGATTCCCGCAACAACACAACCTGTCGACGTTTCCCATTCCACTCTCGTTCCTTCTCCAACTACCTCCTCCACGAGCCTCGGGCCCAACATGATGTCCTAGCTACGAAAACGATGCCCGCCGCTGTCCACTCCGCTACCATGGTACCCCTCAAGCCTGTCCAGACCCAGAACCGGCCACCGTCGCCGCCACCCGATGATACCCTGCCTCGCTCTACTTCGACCCCATTCCAGCCGACCCACAAGAGGCGCGGCGGCGGCCCGCTGTCATCGGACGGCGCTTCTCGAGCTCCTTTACTTGGAATGCAGGTGATCCAGCCCGCCGTGGCTAGGCGCCAAGGTGGAGGCAAGCCTCTGCTTGAATGGATCTCGAGGAAGCTCGGCTCACGTCGAGCCAGCGACGCCCAAGACCGTGAAGCACCACCGTTTGCACGACGCAACCAACCTGTGCAGTCGAGCACCTTTTCGCACAGTGCCAGGAATGAGGCGACAGCTACACGCTTCTGGCGAGACAGAAGCGAGCAGCCGGCTCAGGATACCGCACTGGAGCCCTACCCCACACGTGTGTCGGTCGACGCTCCTTCGCTCGCCGATTCCCAGTCAATGATGTCGTTCGGATACCGCAACCCGCCAAGCGAGCGGCGGCGAGAAGCCAACAACCCATACCCCTCTCTCCCGATCCCCTTGGTGCGCCGCTCTTACCCAGCCTCAACGATCGATGGCGACTCTCGTGCGCCCTCCATGAGCATGCTCTCACGCTCGCGCACCTCTTCCCTGCGATCTCTGTCGTCCTACGCCCGGCGGCATCCTGTCTCGATCGCCGACGATGACAGTAACGCATCGCTTTACCCCCGCAACGCTGACGAGGACGCGAGCCTGAGGCCGCTGCCACCGTCTCCTACGTCGATGTCGATCATTTCGCGAGCTGGATCTGTCCCCCTTGTGCGCTCAGACTCGGTGCCTCACAAGACCACGCCTGCACCGGTGATGCGCCGTGACACGCGGTCGTCTTCTGTGGACGGACCGCGCTCATTCATGTCTGACGATGCAGCAAACTTACGAGGGTCGCGGGAGGGTTCTTTGGCGAGTACGAAGCCAACGACCATTATCAGCTTTGAATCAGGGGCGCCGGCCCACATCGCAGTCGCGCCTTCTGTTTCGTCGTCCTCGCCCGTGGTACGACCATTGTCGACGTCGACTGGCGCCTCAGGCGGCGGGCTAGCGCAGAGTCTCCCGTCACCAGTATCTCCCACATTCCTTCCTGCGAACGTCCCACCAGAAGACTTCCAGGTGCCCAAGCACACGCGTTACCACCCCCGGAACAACCCCCACCCCGGGTCAGCACCGGGTCCAAACGCCTCGACGCAGACGCTCGCCAGCAGCACCTTCGGCCTCGACACGACGCGGTCCATCCCGCGTCCCTCGTCGGTGCGAATCCGCGACTCGCCCTCAGCATACCACGCGCACGGCCGCGTGTTCGCCGAACGCCCGGGATCGATGCAGGGCGATGCAGTCTCCACACACGCGATCGCAGCAAGCGTGCGCACGCGGGGCAACACGCGCGCCGACGACGACGCAAGCATGCGCGCCGTGCGCCGCAGGGGCAGCTGGGAGAGCGGCGAGTCGCGATGGAGCTGGAAGCCGGGCGCGCCCGGACCGGGCACAGGTGCAGGGGTGGACAACTTTTCCCTCCTCCGCAGGGGGAATGAGGACCTCGACGACGTCATGTCCACGAACCGCTCGAGCGTGCACACCCGGGATAGCTATAGGACGGCTATCACGACGTGGGACGACGTCGAGGACGAGCCGTCGCCGCTCACGCCCGATTCGGCCGGAGGCCTCGCGGCGGCCCAAGCAGCCCAAGCAGCCCAGGCAGCGCAGGCCGCCGAGCCCGCGTTCTCCGACGCGTTCGCGCCCCCAAAGGCGCCCATGAGTGTCCTCGTGTAGTTTGGGTCTTTCCATCAGCTTATCAAGTCTTGTCGGCTATCAGCAAGTCATTGAATTCAATCATCAGTAGCAGCACCATTACCACCAGCAGTATTTGTAACTTGTTTCATAACCTTTCCAAATGTTTCACCCAGGGCGTGGTTGTAAAGTTGGCGGCGGGCAGAGGAACAGAGAGCAGAGAGGGGAGTCGTCATTGGGTTTGAGTGATGGTGGAGGGGTGTGAGCGTGAGAGCGTGGGACCTCGTCCGAAGCGAGACTCGGCGGAGGCAGCGAAAAAGCGATCTTCGTCTGTCCAGAAGTGTGGCGGGCTTGGCCCAATAGCAGTAGCAAATATGATCAGTAGGATCTGTCTGCACACCCAGTGTCGAGGAGTGGAAGAAGCCAAATGTATACATCCTAAAAGTTCTACTACACCTGTTCTTTGCACGCTTACTCAACGCCCCACCACAAGTTGGCGACGCCCTTGGCATACCCGACAATCTCGTTTCCAGAGAGCTTGCTCTCCCCAAAAATGCGGTCGACAAAGGTAATCGGCACCTCGCCGATGGTGTATCCGAGCGAGCGCGCGCGCACGACAATCTCCATCTGGAACACGTACCCCTTGGATGTACAGCGCCCGATGATGTCGCGAATGACCGGAAGGCGGTAGAGACGGAACGAGCCCGTCAGGTCCGAGATGCCCGGCTGCAGCACCGTGTCGGCGAGATAGTTGGCGCCGCGCGAGACGAGCTTGCGCTTCAGGTCCCACCCGTACACGCCCCCGGGGCCCAGGCCTACGCGCCCGTTCGACGCGGGAGAGGGGCTGGACGCGTACCGCGTGCCGGTCACAATGTCGAGGTTGTGCATCTTTTGCTGCTTGATGAACTCGGGGATGAATTTGGGCTGTTCGAGGTCAGCTTGTGGGCGAAGGACTAGGGACTAGGACAGCTTGAGTAAGAGACAACTCACGTGGTGGGAGAAGTCGGCGTCCATGATGATCACAAAGTTGCCGGTACAGAAGTTGAGGCCGTGGACGTACGCCGTGCCGAGGCCGAGCTTGCCTGCTCGCGGCTTCAGGACCTGTCTGTCAGCTATCCCGTTGAACATGACAGCTTTGCCGTCCGGCGTCGTGCTAAGCTCGACACTGAGCCCGCATTTCAGATGCCACGCACAATCTTGTCCTCGCCGTAGATACGGCCGAGCTGGCGCGCAACGTCCTGCGTTCCGTCGGGCGACGCGTCGTCGACAACGATAATCTCCCACTGCAGGTTGCTGGTGTTTGTCAGCTCAGGCAACACCATTTGGCGAGCTGCAGTCAGTTAGCCGCCGCCGACTCACTTCTCCTCGAACATCTTGGCAAGCAGCCAGACAATGACGGGCAGGTTCTTGCGCTCATTGTACGTCGGCAGGATGACCGAGTACTTGTCTTCTCCTGATTTGTTAGCTTTGCTATCCCTCGTCGAGCCCTGCGGGCTCTCCTCGGTGTGCGCACCTGTAGTAGTAGCCGTGGACATGTCGATGATGCGGTGCTCAGACATGAGAGAGGTGTAAGATGCCCTGACGCCGCGCGGTTCAAGGAGCGTGTGAGGTCAGGGACGGGCCGGACGGGCAGGTCAACTGGCGGTCGAGGCGGTCAAGGCGGTGGGAGCGGGTTGCGTGGGCGTGGGCACGCTGCGATGGCGATGGGGTGCGGTCGAGGTCGGATTTGTTGTTGTTGAACAGGCTGGCTGCGCGGATCCAGACGTGGACGTGGAGGCGGAGGCGGAGGTTGTCAGGCACGGGTATTACGACATGAGCCGGCTGATTAGCACGCCGGCGGGGAAGGTTTAATGAAATCTGGATAGGAAATCATGAAACCGTATGCTTGCGTCCCGGTTTCAAATGGGCTGGCCCAGAGGGAATTACCAGCTCGTTCACCGATCTTGGGACATCTACGAGAATCGAGATGGTATGTCTTGTACTGATGGTTCTGGCATCGACAGGAAACTACTGCTGTATGCACGTGTGCGAGTACCTTCCTCTACTGGTCGAAGATCACAAGCCGGTCACGGGTGAAGGTTTCTGACTTCTCTCCAAACTCATTCTTCTATCCCCACCGTCGCCCGCCTGACTCTGCACCCCCTTAGCGGAGGACTGTAAGCCTCTCTTGCACCTGAGAGGTTTCAGTAGAACGTGGACGTCGACCCCAGCCAACCTGGGAGACAGACCTTTGTCTGGTCAAAATGCAGGATTAATCATGCCAACACAGCAGTTAGCCAGTCAGTGCCATACCCGTCAATCCAGTCCTCAAAGTCTAGCTATGCATACAACATGATAGTCGCCCCGCAGTCTCCCTCCAGTCTAGAAGTCGTACACGTCTCCCGCATTGTTGTCGCGCGCAGGCACCTGCGTCGCGGCGCCGAAGCCGTCTCCGTACGGGTCGTATCCGCCAGTTGCGGGCTGGGCGACGGCGGCATCGGGGCCCATGCCCATCTCAATGTTGCGCGCCTGGTCCTGGAACTGCTTCTTGATGCTGAGCGTCTGGTTGATGAGTTGCTGGCACGCGCGCTTCAGCGCGTCGGCGGGGTTGGAGCGCTCGTCCGTCTGGATCTTGATGCTGATCACGTTCTCAAGCGGGTGCGGAAGCTTGTAGCCCGCGAAGAGCACTGTCGGGTCGAGAAGGAGCTGACTGGGTTTGTTAGCTTTTCAAATCCGGGAGCTTCAAAGCTGCAATGATCATTTGAATGGCACAGCAGGCGCGGGAAGGATGGGAGTTTGAGGGAAGGAAGGAGACATGACTCACGCCCTCAGCATATTGCCCAGCGTATGATCCTGCGCGCGCAGGACAAAGGTCGCCGCATTCGGGATCTTGGCGTCCTCCGAGATCGTCAGGCGCTTCTCTCCATCCTGCAGCAGCCACGTCTCGACTCGGTTCGGCTGGTTGATACGTCCCGACATGGTTCTGAAGGTCAGCTTCGTCCGATTCCTCAGCTTTAATGTGGGGACATTAAACCGCGCAGTTCGCGATCGATGCAGAGAGCCGGATATCAATCCGCACAGTCATGCCTGAGGCTGCACCGATGCCCGCGCTCTACTCACTGTTCTGGATGGCGAGAACGAGGTTTCTGGTGGAGTTCACCGAGTTATTGTGATCACCAGATGGCAGTGACTGCCATTGTGATACGAGGGTTGGACACACGTCATTCACCACGTGACTGCGGCCACCACCGCCAGCCCTCACCACGCTGAAGGACACGGCTGTCTGCCATCGTCGTCAGCGGCTTGTATGCATATCTCCTCCACCCTTTGCAAGAGCCCGTCCGTGATAGCGGGATGTGCACGGTGAGCATGCGTGGGGGAGGCGTTGTGGCTATCGTAAAGTTCGTGACAAACAGTTGTGGCAGCAAAACCTCTGCTCCAGTCTAATCTATTACACTGCATACTCAAGACCTCTATGAACACCAAGAAAAAGCTATCACCCAAAACTGACCAGGGAACGCTTAGACAAGGTCCTGAGTAAGGATAGTCCTGTAGCGGACGGTTCCGTCCTCGACGGCCTTGATGGCGTCGGCGGCCTGCTTCATCGGGATGACGTTGATCCAGGGCTTGACCTGCTTCTTGGCGGCAAGGTCGAGCATCTGGAGGGCCTCGGTGCGGCAACCGATGTGGGACGAGCCAAGCGAGCATCCGTTGCCGGCCATGGCCTGCGAGGTGATGTTCTTGATGCCCTCCTCGGGCATGCCGACGAAGACGAACGACTTGTTGACGTCGAGGGTGGTGAGGAGAGCGTCAATGGGCAGCTTGCTGCTCGAGGCAGTGCAGACAATGACGTCGAACTCGCGCTGCAGGTCCTTCTCGAAGCCGGGCTCGCCGGTGGCGACAAAGCGCTTAGCGCCCATCTTGAGGGCATCCTCCTTCTTCGCGTCGGTGCGCGAGAAGACGGTGACCTCGGCGCCGAGGGCGACGGCGAAGAGAACGGCGTAGTGGCCGAGACCGCCGAGACCGACAACACCGACCTTGGAGCCGGGGCCGACGCCGTGGCGGACAAGGGGAGAGAAGGAGGTCAGACCACCGCAGAGCATGGAAGCAGCCTCAACAGAGGGGATCCCCTCGGGGATGGGGAAGACGAAGAGCTCCTGGGCGCGGATGTGGGTCGAGTAACCACCCTGGTGGTCGTGTCCATCGGGCCACTTGGTGTTGTAGCCGTGGACGGGTTCAGGGCAGTAGTTCTCTGCGCTTGTCAGCTGCTGCGTGGATGATATCTCAGAGCTCACCGTTGTCGTGGGTGCACCACTTGCACTTGCCGCAGGAGCCGACCTGGGCGCCGACACCGACACGCTGTCCGACCTTGAACTGCTTGACGTTCTTGCCGACCTCAACGACTTTGCCGACAACCTCGTGGCCGGTGACGACAAACTTGGTCTCCCAAGGGCCCCAGCCGCCCGAGATGGTGTGGTGGTCAGAGCCGCAAACACCGCAGCACTCGACGGCGACGGTCACGCGGTCATCCTCGAGCGGCTCGAGCTCGTACTTGGTGACCTCGAAGTCGAGGTACTTCTTAGGGTCCTTGACGGCGTAGCCGGTAGCCTGGTTGTTGACGGGGGCGGACATCTTTTGTTGACGTGGAAAGAGGAAGGAAGGGTGGTGGGGTCCGACAAGTCGGTGTGCCGTTTTATACCGGAGGTCCTGAACGCGAGATCGGGATCCTCGGCCCGCCCGGCCCGAGCGACTCTTGGCCGTCCATCCTTCCCAACTGTTCGCCCAGCGGCAATGCATGTGACTTCTCTCTTCCTCGTTACACTGGGCATGCTTCGGATGGCTGTCGGTGCTTAATTAACGAGACAAGCACGACGTGTACGGTGTACGATGAGTCGAAACTCGTTTCGGTGTGTACCCCAAGTGACCCAGTCCATCCTCGGGTCAACTAACCTCTTCTGGCGCTGCGGCTACGACTACCTATCGATCGCTGTCACTATCCGGACCACCACCGGCTCGACATCGGCGGAGTCGGCGGAGCAACGCGATCACAAGCCTCTGCTTACGGAGCACAGCGCTCTCTCCATCTTACTCATCATCTCGACGGGTCCGAAGAGGCGGGCTCCGCCCACGGTGCGAGTTCACTGTACATGGTGGAGGCCAAGGTGGAGGTTGATCACCGTCGGCGACACCCCAAAAATCGCCGGCCAACGGTGCTTGCTATCACTGACGTCACGTCTGTGACTACGCCTTTTGGTGCATGTTTGCACGACACGTTTGTGTTGCTCATGGCAAAGTCTTGTCGGAAGCAGATAACCAAAACAGGACGTCATCTGCCTGGCCAGAATCCTTTTTCAAAGTCAGATCTTCTCCAGCGTCGCTGAGCAGCGTCAGCTACTCTCCGCTCGTCGGAGGATTGCCCGACGTCGCCGGCGTATGTGCGTCTTGCTGGGCTGCGCAGAGACATGCATGTCCGTCAGCCGTAGAGAACACCCTCCTTTCTCCACCAATCACGTGACGCGGCGTTTCAGATGTGGCACCCAGTGCTCGGCTCTTGATAAGGCTGTTGGTCGATCGCGGCACACCCTGCCGGCGAGGCTCGGCTGGGATGCGCTAGCATGTGTGTGATGTGTGAGCTCCACCTGAAGAAACGTCTTCGACGCCCACACACTCCTCTGGGCACATGTAGTGAAACTAGATCGTCTTCGTTAAGCAATGCACTTCCACAGACGCACATCCGCCCCTGCTTGTCCCTTAGGCCAAGGCCGCGGCACCCTCGGAAAATCTGTTCGATCCACAACCAGGGCAGACACGGTGGAGGCGGTCCGGACTTGCGCACATCACGTGATCGCATCATCCGGTCTCCCACGGTATTCTTCCACCAGCAGGCCGTTGACCCGTTGATTCGTCTCAGTTGGCCCCCCTCACGACACTCAGTCCTCAGCATCCATCCCCCACCAACACACGGCTCGCATCGACATCCAGCAGTTGCGCCTACGTGCGATAGGGGACCCCTTTTGAACGATTGGCAGCTTTTAATCGCTTTCCTGTTTACTCCGGCACGCCATTCCTTGCGACACCCATCCAACACTTCGCTTACGACCTGCCCGGACCGTAGTGTAATCGGCAGTTATGTCCAACCCTCCGCCATCCGGCGCTGCAGGCGGGTCATGGCAGCAGCAGCAGCAGCCTCAAAGCCAGCAGAGTGGCTACAGGCCCCTCAACGTGAGGGACGCACTGAGCTACCTTGACCAGGTAAAGGTACGTCACCTTTTGTTGCGGTTCGAGAGATGCCTTATGGTTCGCCATGCTGACACTGCGTGTGTTTTTCTTCCCTCGAACAGATCCAATTCGCCGATCAACCAGAAGTGTATAACCGCTTCCTCGACGTTATGAAGGAGTTTAAAGGACAAGTGTACGTGCATGGATCGGCGAGGGACGCCTGGCCGTCCTTCCCCGCAGCCTCGAGATTTGATTTTCCAGGAAGCTAACAGCTACAGCATCGACACCCCTGGCGTCATTGATCGCGTCTCGACTCTGTTCCGCGGACATCCCTCGCTCATCCAAGGATTCAACACGTTCTTGCCACCCGGATACCGCATTGAATGCTACGGCCCCGAGGGCGACCCGCAGGGCCTGATCACCGTTACTACCCCCACCGGTACGGTTTCTCAGGTTCCCGGCGGTCTCGCCGCGGCCATGGACCAGCGCGAGCGCGCTGCCGAGCAGCAGCAGCGTGAGGCTGCGGCTGCGGCTGCCGCTCCTCCCAACGCGGATGCCGGACCCAACAACGGTCCCTACGCCCAGCCCCCCGGTGGGCCCGCTCCCCACGGTGCCGCCTACGGTGGAGGCCGCCCCTCTGCACCCCCCGCGCCGGCCCCAGCCCCGTCGCGTGTTGCCGCACCTCCATCCGTCGGTGCCATGCCTCCTCAGCACCCCCTCCCTCCCTCCGGACCTTCCACTCCGGGTGCTGCCCAGTTCCTCGCTCAGCAGTCTCAAGCTCAGCAGCCTCCTCCCGGTAACGTTCGTGCTCCCATCCTGGAGTTCAACCACGCTATCTCTTTTGTCAACAAGATCAAGAACCGCTTCAACTCTGAGCCTGAGACGTATAAGAACTTCCTGGAGATTCTGCAAACCTACCAGCGCGACCAGAAGATCGAGGATGTGAGTTTTGCTGCCGCTGTCTGGATGGAGCGCTGATCAAATTCCAGGTGTATGAGCAGGTCATTGACCTTTTCAAAAACGCTCCCGACCTTCTCGCCGAGTTCAAGCAGTTTCTCCCCGAGTCTGGTGGGTTCGGATTCGGCTCCTTCGTCCAAGCTGCTGCTGGAAGTGGACAGCCTGCCCCGCCCACTGGAGGACAGAAGCGCAAGGAGACCAAGGAGGCTGCCCCGAAACAGAAGCGCAGCCGTGCCAACGAGTCCAAGGCTGCCGCCGCCCGCAACAAGAAGGCCGACAGCCCTGTCGAGGAGGAGCCCGCCATGTCTGCGAACGCTCCCCAGACGCTGGCCTCGCCCGAGGAGGTCGCCTTCTTCGACAAGGTTAAGAAGTACATCGACGACAAGGTTACCTACCACGAGTTCCTGAAGCTTATCAACCTGTTCACCCAGGACATCATCGACGCCAAGGTGCTCCTCGACCGCGCTGCGCTTTTCATCGGCGACGCTGGCGACATCTGGGCGACCTTTAAGCGCATCGTCGGTGCGGATGACCTCGGTCACATTGGCCACGCCACGCAGGCGCAGAGCGGCTTCGGCTTTGGTGGAATGATCAACATCGACAACCAGCTTTCCGAGAACACCCCCATGCTCGACCGTGTCAAGCCCGACTACGGCGGCCCCAAGGTCAAGGCTTATGGACCCTCGTACCGCAAGCTGCCATCCACTGAGGTCAACCTCAACTGTACCGGACGCGACGCAATGTGCTGGGAAGTTCTCAACGACGAGTGGGTGTCTCACCCGACGTGGGCGGCTGAGGACGCCGCTCCGTTCCTGGCACACCGCAAGAACGCCTACGAGGAGGCTCTTCACAAGTCTGAGGAGGAGCGTCACGAGTACGACTTCCACATTGAGGCCAACCTGCGTACGATTGCTCTGCTTGAGCCCCTCAACAACAAGATCCAGGCCATGGACCCCGAGGAGCGTGCCCACTTCAACCTCAAGGCTGGACTCGGTGGCCACAGCCGATCGATCTACCAGCGTATCATCAAGAAGGTCTACGGCAAGGAGCTCGGCCCTGACATCATCCGCGCTCTCCACGAGAACCCCGTCGTCGCTCTCCCTATTGTCCTCGACCGCCTCAAGGCCAAGGATGAGGAGTGGAAGAAGGCGCAGCGGGAGTGGAACCGCGTCTGGCGTGAGCAGGATGCCAAGAACTTCTACAAGGCGCTCGACCACCAGGGTGTCGTCTTCAAGTCTGCCGACAAGAAGACGATTGCTACCAAGGGTCTCATTGCCGAGGTTGAGGCTCGTCGTCGCGAGCAGTCCAACGCTCGCAACGCCCTGCTGAACCCTCGCTCGACTCCTCGCCCTCGCTACCAGTTCTCCTTTGAGTTCAAGGACGTTGACGTGCTCAAGGATGCTCTCAAGCTCATCTTTGGCTACCTTGACCGCATGCCCTCTCTGCAGCCCGCCGACAAGGAGCGCATTGAGATGCAGATCCGCGACTTCATCCCCACCTTCTTCATGTTTGACAAGGAGGAGTTTGACGCGGACTTTGGAGACGCCGATGGCACCGAGGACGAGTCTGCCGCCGAGTCTGACGGTGACGTCAGCATGGCCGACGACGAGGACTCGACGTCTGGCAAGAAGAAGAAGGGCTCGCAGGCTTCCCTGCGCAAGCAGGTCCTGAAGGCTGTCGGCGAGAAGGGCGGACGCGAGGGAACCAGCACCCCTGGTGAGGACGGTGGCGACTCTGGCGAGGCCACCGATGCTGCCGACGGTGACGAGAACGAGCAGACCTGGGTTCAGATGGAGACTTCTTCGACGCACTCTGAGGAGGCCGCCGAGGCTGAGCCCAAGCCGAAGCGCTCTCGTGCCGCCAACTTCTTCGCGAACAACCACTTCTACATCTTCATCCGCCTTCTGCAAATTCTCTACTCGCGTCTGCTGCTGTGCAAGGGTATCGCCGCCAAGCTCAGCAACGAGAAGAAGCGTCCCATCAACCCGGTGGCGATTGACCTGGGTCTTGCCGAGCCTGCCACCCAGAACTTTGGTGTCGAGAGCGGCGAGAACCCCGCCCAGCACTACTACGACCACCTGCTGGCTCTTGCCGAGCGTCTGTTCGACAATGACATTGACCAGCCGACGTACGAGGAGACGCTGCGTCTCATGTTTGGCAACAAGGCGTACACCATGTTCACTGTCGACCGTGTCGTCGGTGCCATTGTCAAGCAAACTCAGCAGATCGTCGGCGACTCGAAGAGCCAGGAGCTGCTCAACCTCCTGCACCGCGACCGCGCTCAGGAGCGGACGACGACGCGCCAGCAGATTGCGTACCGCATGAACGCCGAGGCTGTTCTCGGTCCCGACGAGAACCTGTTCCGCATCGAGTACATTCCTCGCAGCGAGACGGTGACGATCCAGCTCCTCGCGCGCGAGGATCTGACGGTCGACGACGCCGAGACGGCCGAGCAGCAGTGGCGCCAGTACATTGACAGCTACGTGTTAACGCACCCGACAGAGGGGCTCCCGCACCGCGTCGAGCAGCCCTTCCTGACGCGGACATTAGGCGAGATCCCGGACGACCTCGGGCCCGAGGTGTTCAAGTCCAAGTCGGAGCTGCAGTTCCGGGTAGCGCTGGGCAACTACCGGATCTTTTACAGCCCGAACACGGAGGACGTGTTTTACCGCCAGCGCAGCGAGGGCACGGTGCGCGAGGACGACGCGAGGGAGAAGCAGTACCTCGAGGGCGCGACGAAGCGGCTCGTCGACTGGGTCAACAAGACGATCGAGGAGCCCGAGCCCGCCGCAGAGGGCGCAGAGGACGAGGCTGTCGCCGCTGCTGCCGCCGCCGACGAGGCCAACGAGGTCGAGGCTTAGGCTGCCCCGTGTGCAGGTGTGCGTGTGAACTATAAAGCATTAGAGCACCGAACGCCGTGTCCCACTTGTTCACCCGTGTTCGCGTAGTTGTTGTAACAATGGGCTCGTTAATCAGAGGCCCTCTATACCCCCCTCCCTCCAAGTTTCCATAGCTTTCGAGACATGACATGAGATATTCGTTTTCCAAAAGAGACTATGTGCATAAGGACTTGGTGCGTGTAATTTACAACTGGTTGAAGGCGGAGAGAGAGAGAGGACAGGTAACCCAAAGAACAGCGTGCTGGGATCTCAGAGCGGGGACGAGGAACTCAGAGCGGGGCATTGACTCCATTCTGTAATTCGGGGACTTCGGGGACCTTGCGCACGCGCACAACGAGCACGTTCATCTCCCCCGTGACGAGGCGTCGATACGGAATCCCGAGATTCTTGTACACAGCCCGGAGCAGCCCCGAGTGTGCCGTGAGGCTCACATATCTGTCCTCCTGTGCCATATCAAACAGAATCTCGAGCCCCCGTCCGGCGCGCGCGACCATTTCGTCCTCCGTCTCGCGCCCGCGCACAGAGATGGGCTTCCACACCGTGTCCTCGTCCGGCGCCTCGGGGAATGTGAAGTGCGGGAAGAGCGCGCGGAGCTCCGTGAGCGTCAGCCGCTTGTCGCACGCGTGCACGTGCAGGTGTTCCCGCATTTCCTCGATGACGAGGCCGGGCACGCCGTGCGACATCCCGCCCTGCGCCTCGGGCAGAGAGAGCGCGGTGCTCGATGCCAGGATCGCCTTCACGTGCGCGATCTCGTCGGCGGAGCGCTCGTGCTTCGTGGCATGGGCGGGCTTGACGCTGTTCGTCCCCGGCGCTGGCGCGGACGTCGGCACGGAGGTGGTGGGTGTCGAGGACGAAGGGGTGGTTGGCGTGGCACCACCGACGTTGATCTTTGGCGGCGAGCCGGGCTTTGAACTCGGCTGCGAGTTCGGCTTGCTCCCCGATGCGCTTCCCGGCTGGCTCGCTGGCCGCGAGGCCGGCTGGCTCCCCGGCCGCCCAGACATGCCAGGCATGGCCCTCATCGGCGTCGGCGCGACAATCCCATCCCTCCCGCCCTTGACCGCCTCACTGAGTCTAGCGCCCGCAGCCTGCGCGGCCGCCGCAGCACTGTTGGCCTGCGCCTGTGCTGGTTTAGCCTTGGCGGCTTTACTCGGCGAGTTCGGCGTCGAACTCGGCGCAGAGAGACCAGGCAGGGGCGAGTGTGCGGGCGACGGACTGCCGGGACGACTGACGGCGCCGGCCTTGAAGAGCCACCCCCACTCGAGCCCGAGCGTCTCGCCCGGCCGGCGCATGGGCGAGACGAAGAACTTGGTCGGAAGCGGCATGTCATTCGCGGACTCGGAGGCGAAGACGCCCCCGAGCGTCATGGCCTGCCGGCGGCCGACTTGGGTCAGGAGCGGGTCCGTGATCGGGTAGAGCTGCTGTTAGCTGGGCCACACTCATTCAGCTCCGTAGCCCGGGGATGCATATGCATGCAGCACGCGTTTCGTGCATGCACTCCGTGTCCCGTGTCCTCAGGCTCTCAACCGACGCCGAGTCCGACGCCGATGTACACATGGTCGTGTGGTGTGTGGTGTCGGGCAATGGACGCGTCGCACAAGGCCCGAAACAGCCGATGCTCATGTCCGAAGGCCGCTGGGGCCACATGACCCCTTCGGGGCAACACTCACTGTCTGCGCCTCGTACTCTGAGCACCCGTACTTGCGCGCGAGGACGTTGTGCTCCGCCTCGCCGTGACGCGCGCAGTACACGACCTTGATGTCGCCGTCGCCCTCGGCTGCGAGCTGCTCGATGCGTCTGCAGAACGCGGCCCAGTTCGGTAACTGGAGGCCGAACGAGTTGACGATCTGGGGTTAGCTCGCAATCTTCCTAGCAGCTTTGCCGTGTCGCCGCTGGACTTGGGCCGGGAGAGGAAATGGGGTGGGAGCGAGAGTGACAGAGATGAAGACGGGGAAGGCGTGGGGGCCGACTAGAGGGGGCAACGACACTCCGCACACGACCAACGCAGGGTGACTCACGTTCTCCTCCCAGGTCGTGACCTTGAAGAGACCGGGGACGGGCTCGTAGGTGTATGGCATTGTGGGTTGCCGTGGTCGCTGACGAAGGGGTGGGCGGGTTGCGAAGGAGGGGGGATGGAGAACAAGCGAACAGCAAGATGGACCTTGGACCTGGGTGCACCTTGCATGAGACCGTGTACTTTGCCGTGGGTGGACGCATGCGCGTGAGCTCAGCAGCAGCAGACACCACACGCACCGCGGGCATGAAGCGGTCGGTCCGCCCTGTCGGTCCTTGTACCCGAATGTTTATCCGGCTGGCCGCCTACCTGGGCCACTCTGGCGGTCATTCCCGATGGCCCCGCGTCCGTCTAATCGCCTAATGGCCTTGCTATAATGGGTCTTGCTCTGTATGTACTTATCCGCACTCGATCGCATCACCACTCAAATAGCGGATGCATGGCTTCACTGATCATTTGCATCGGGACGCCACCGCTGCACGCTGCTTCGGCGTTGATGCATGCATGCCACTCTGCCTCACTACGGCCACCTCCCGTCTCCCAGCCCGCACAATCACGCATCCTGCATTATGTTACAACATGAACTACCCTCGACTCTACTTGCGGCCGCCCGTCTTGAACTGGCGCGCGAAACGGTTGAATTTCTTGTTGTCCATCTGCAGACGCGCGACGTGCTGCAGGTCCTCCTGGTGGTGCTGCAGGCGCGACTCGGGCGCAACCGTGTACTGCACGTCTTGGACAATGGGCATGCGCGCACCCTTGCGGTGCTCGTTCTCGCTGAGCGCCTGGCGGACATTGAAGCGCTTGGCCTTGGGCGCCTGCTGCGAGCCAGAGCGCGACTTGCGGGCGCGCTCGCCGTCCTCGTCAAACTCCTCCTCCTCGTCCAGCTGGCGCGCGGACACAATCTTCTTCTGCCTGTAGTCTGCGGGACGCTTAATGATCGGGCGAGCCCACGTCTGCACGAGGGCGTCCGCCGCACGAGAGATCTGCGGGCTCACACGCTTCGTCTTCGTGTAGAACAGGATGACGGGGCCGAGGCCAGCCTCACGGATCGTAGGCGTGTCAAGCTCCATCTTGGGTAAGACTTCGAAGACAGCCTTCTGGATACCAACGGCGGGGAGCGAGCGGTCTGGAAGCGGCTCGAGCCATTTCTTCACAGCCTTCAGCACCTCGTTGTCGATGATCGAGGACCACAGCGTCGTGTTCTGAAGCACACTGACAACCTCATCCAGCATCGCCAACTTGCTCGTCGCAGGAAGCTTGTTCTGGTTCGCAATGAGGTCGCGCTCGGCCGCCTTCTCCATCCGGTCACGCAGGCGCGAACAGATCTCGTCGTGGTACGAGTCGACGATCTGAAGTTAGTTTCGCTGTTCCCTTGCTGATAACTCACGTCCACATCCTCGCCTCCACGCTTCTTGCGGCGCACGACACGCTGCTTCTTTCCGATCGCGTCTATTCTCTCCTCAAGAGCAAGACGACGACGGGTGGCCTCATCCATCTCGGGCTCAACCTCCTCCTCTTCCTCTTCCTCGCGGCGCCTGTCCTTTCTGCTCTTCTTCTTCTTGCGTCGTCGGTCCTCATCATCGTCGTCGTCGTCATCCGTGTCATCGCCCTCTCCAGCTCCGGCAGAAGATCGCTTCTTGAATGAAGGAATGCGAGCCTCTGTCGTCTCGGTCGCAGGAACGTAGGTCTCGCCCTCAGCCTCTCCTCCCTCCTCGGTCGGGTTCTCGGTGGCGGGGGCGTCCTGGTCGATCGGCTCGCCGCCAGTCTCCTCCTCCTGGGCTCCCTCGTCGGCGGGGACAGCGACGTCCTCTTCGTGGGTGGGAGCTCCAGGCGACGGAGCCGTCTCGATGGGGTTGGTGTCTGGCGATGCAGACATTTTGGCGATGTGGGGGTAGCGGCGAGGAGTGATGTCGAAGTCAAAACAGCGAGGAGATTGGGTGGTCACCATCGAACGGAGCCAGATGGCGTAACAAGGCCATTGTGAGATGGGCGCGTGGTTTTGATTCCGTCGAGCCGACAGCCTGATCAGAACCGGGCCGCTTTCACATTTCGGTTTCGCTGGCACAGCGCGCGCAGCGCGACGACGACCGTACCACCGTACCGCCGGGTGATTCCCTGAACGCCGGCCCTCGACTGGCGACCTGGAGGTCGTATCATGCCATCGATCTCACCTCTTTCAACCCCGCCCACACTTCTTTCTTCGTCTTCTGCTTCTACTCCGGACAGCCCATACACGACCTCTCGACTGCTCATTCGACTGCAGTAATCTCTTCCGCTCGCACGACTACGTTTAGATCAAAACTCGCCACTTCCCGGCTCCCAGCACTACACAAATAATTGCCCATCTGCACCATGGGTATCCTTGAGCATGCCGTTCTCGGTGAGTTTTCGGTGCCGTGTTGAGCAACACGATGCTAACTCCTCCCAGCGGTGACCCACCCCGTATGTGTTGTCTTTCGGCTACGCCTTCTCGTTGCATACTAACCGCATCGCAGGGAGAGCTTCGCTCGATGATCGGGTACAAGATCTGGCGCGACCACCGCGACATCACAGACCCGACCCAGGCCGAGGCGACTGGATGGAAGCGCGAGTCGATGCGCCAGTGCTGGGCGTTCCTTGACCAGACGAGCAGGAGTTTCTCCATGGTCATCAAGGAGCTCGATGGCGAGCTCGCCCGTGTTGTGAGTCCTAACTGCGGGCGCAGCGCTGATTCCCACAGGTCTGTCTCTTCTACCTCGTCCTCCGTGCCCTTGACACCGTTGAGGATGATATGACCGTCTCCAACGACGTCAAGCTCCCTCTGCTTCGCAGCTTCCACGAGAAGCTCTATGAGCCGGGATGGACCTTCAACGGTTCGGGAGAGCAGGAGAAGGACCGCCAGGTGCTCGTCCAGTTTGACATTATCCAGAAGGAGTTCTCGCTCCTCGACGAGAGCTACCAGCGTGTGATTGCCGACATCACGAAGAAGATGGGTGCGGGTATGGCCGACTACGCCGCTCTCGCTACCCCGGAGCGACCAGTCGCCGAGGTCAACTCGATCGACGACTACGACCTCTACTGCCACTACGTCGCCGGTCTTGTCGGTGAGGGTCTCTCCGGTCTCTTCGCCACTTCCGGCAAGGAGCGCGAGTTCCTCGCCAACCAGCTCACCCTCTCCAACTCGATGGGTGCTCTCCTGCAGAAGACCAACATCTACCGTGACATCAAGGAGGACGTTGACGAGGGCCGAGGATTCTGGCCCCGCGCGATCTGGGGCAAGTACGGCTTCAACTCGATGAACGAGCTTGTCGACCCTGCTCGCCGCCGCGAAGCTCAGTGGGCCGCCAACGAGATGGTCCTTGACGCTCTCCGCCACGCCACCGACGCGCTCGACTACCTCACTCTCCTGAAGAACCAGACCGTCTTCAACTTTGTCGCCATCCCCGCCGTCATGGCCATGGCCACGCTCGAGTGCTGCTTCATGAACCCCGCCATCTTTGAGCGCAACGTCAAGATCCGCAAGGGACAGGCTGTTCAGATTGTCATGTCTGCCTCGAACCCCCGCGACGTTGCCTTCATGTTCCGTGACTATGCCAAGGCTATCCACGCCAAGGTCCCCAAGGACGAGCCCAACATGCTCCGCTTCTCGATTGCCTGTGCTCGCATCGAGCAGTGGGCTGAGCACCACTACCCCTCGTTCATCATCATCCAGCCCGGTGCTGGTGGCAAGGGAGCGTCTGCCGGCATCGACCCGATGTCAACAGACGCCCGTATCGGCATCTACAACGACATTGCGCAGAAGTCGCGTGAGAAGGCTGAGGCTAAGCGCCGCGAGGAGATCATGGAGGACCTGCGGGCCCGTGGCCTGATCAAGCCGACCGACCCCAACTCGCCGGCGATGGAGAAGTGGAAGGAGACGGTCAAGAAGTCGGAGGAGGGCAGCGTCAACGACCCGTTCCCGTACCTGCTTCTTGCGGGTATTGTCATCGGTATCATTGCCGTCTTTGGTCTGTCCATCCTTGGAGCTCTCTGGGCCATTGGCAAGTGGGGACACAAGGTGAGTTAAACCGTCTCTGGGGGTGTAACTGACGCAAACAGCTTGATGCTATGATGAGCAACAACTAAGTTGATGAATGGGGAAAATGGGAGTGTTGCGAATTGTATTACGTGCACACTCTCGGTAATGTTTTGCGACGGACGGACGGACGGACGGACGATGGAGCTCGGATCTGGACTACCATAGACGACGGATCGGATAGGGACATGTATGGCCATAAGCATACGCGCGCACGCGGCCGTGGAAGCCGTGGAACGAATGGAAAATGGCGCGTGACTGGCGAGGATGTACCGACTAAGGACGCGGCGAGCCATGACGCTAACGAGTTAACGAGGGGCGAGACCATCAGAGGCTTCGAGGAAGACGCGAGTGAGTGACACAAGAGAGTGACAACGCCAATGCCGCGCACCTCGCGTGCGCCGAGTTCCAGACCCCGATCTTCTGATGACTGACGCGACTGACCTTGGGTCAGGAGCTGACGATTCGAGAGTGCGCAGTACACAGATGACGGGATGTCCTGATGTGGACCTGAGAAACACACACACACAGTGACGGCAAGGCGCCCCGCCGCTCGCGACCGTGCGCGTGTGCACCGTCGCTCGTGTTATTGTTGTTCATTAAGAAGGCGCCAGGGGGCCGCTCGTCTGATTTCCTCATCCTCCACTTTCTCTTCTACACTGACACTCCGCTCTCCTCACCCTCTCTGTGCATACGCCCATCCTCATTACCCTCTGACTCTCTGTCACTCCTTCTTGTGCATAACACAAACAAACTGTCTTTACCGTTTTCTCTTTGCTCTGCCCCGTTGACATTGTCTTCGACCTCTTTCCACCCAGCGGGGCGCCTTCACCATGGCAAGTCTTAACCGGCAGCCTCTGGGCACCTTCCCCTTCGCCATCCGCACCCCGGACGGCAGACACGCTAAGGTCATCGGCCACTTCACCCCTCTCGAGTGGCCACCCAGCGAGGCCGCCTTCGACTTCAGCACCGCAGATGATGGTCCCTCGCCCGTCTTTGTTCTGACAGAGCTGGGCAACCCCGCCGTTCTACCAGCCATGCGCCTCGGGAACGACACGGTCGAGTGGCTCGACACCGAGTCTTCCTCGGCCCCGGCCAGAAGCGCACAGTCAAGACACTCGATCCTCGGATCTCCCAACCTGGCGGTCCCCGACACCGCAGCCAACGCCGGCCCCAGTCGCCGGCGCAGTCTTCCTCGACTCATGCGCTCCAAGTCGGACGCTACTCTTCCCCGCAACCGCCTTAGCATTGGCCACCCCCAGCCCTTCCGTCCTCTCTCGCGAAACACGCAACTCGGGCGACGCTGGGCAGCACGCACCGCAGCTGCCGCACAAGTTGTCCCTCGACGTGCCGAGGAAGGGCCACGGTGGCAACAGCCGCTCCATGTCGGCGTCGCCTTCCTCGCTTGTCGCCACCTTCTCCAACTGGACCGTGAGGAAGCGCAACAGCATGCGAAAGAAGTCTGCAGATGACTTTACTCAACCCTTTCCCTCGTCTCCCTTGTCAGCGTACGAGGACTTTGGTATCTCTGCCGATCCTAGCAGGCTCGCCCCGCCACCGTTCCCCAACTACAACCAGCCGATCCGAATGCCCATTCGCAAGCGGGCCAGTATGCCCGCCGCCTGGATGCAATCTGTGCCGACCGAAGAACGGACGGCGAGCCTTGTGCCTCCTACCTCGCCCTCGCGCCATGCTTCCTCGCATTCGATCAGCACCGAGTAGTGAGTACCTGCCTCGTGGCTTGTGCGATTGCGTGAGCTGACTCGACAGTTCCAACGCAGAAGCCATCAAACGACTGGTGGCGGCACACAACCGCTCAGCGCCACCTGTGCCTTCCCCGACCTCGTCAGCCACGGGCCACAAGAGCCACCTGCAAGGCCGTTCCTCGATCTGGCCCAGCTACGTGATCAAGCGCAAGCCGGTGGCAGTGGCACCGAGATCCGCCAGCAACGAGCTGCCTGCCAATGCGCACCCGCCCCTTCGCGAAGCGTCGTCGACTGCTGCTGATGTCTACGGCACGACTCCCCGCGTCAAGACCCTGACGTCGAAAGGCAGCCGCCGCAGCCTCCTTCCTCAGCGCGACCGCGACGAGGCTGGCTCGGACCACAACGTCCTCTCCTACATCCAGACCAAGGCCCTGTCAATCTTCAAGCGCAAGTTGCGCAAGACGGCAACCAAGGGTCAACAGCAGGAGCAGCTCGTCAAGCCAGCAACCAAGCCGTTGCCGATCGACAAGAAGGTCAAGTCTCTTGTCAGCCTGTGAGTTAGCTGAATGGGGACGGTAACTGACATGCAGGCGTCACGATAACAGGAGTGCCACTTCCCTCTCCTCCATTAGCTCGGACGAGTATGACGAGGCTGCCGCAACCATCATGCACGCCGAAGCGGTCCGTCTCGGCTACACTGCGCACACGATCGTCAGAAAGGAGACAGACGTGAGTTACCGTGGTGCTCTCGAACTGACGAGCAGCCATCTTGCCCAATGCACGGCTCACACAGCCGTGAGCAGAGCGGACCAACCGCCACTGCAGCGCCGCTCCAAGCCATTCCCCGCCAGGACGGCTTCCCCCGTGTATCCTCTGACTCTCCGTGGTCAGAGGATAGCACCATGCTTCCCCCCTCGTCGAGCGAGGAAGACATCGGTCTCGCCATCTCCACCGACGACGACGACAAGGGTCCCTCCACACCTTCCCGTATGGCCACCGTCTCCAAAGCCCGCGGCAAGAGCTACTTCCTGAGCTGCCCTGCTCTGGTCCCCGACTCGTTGTCCGACTCGGGCACCCCCAGCGATAGTCCCACCAGCACGCCCGAGGACGGCAACTCGCCCACCGCCACGCTCTACAGTACGCCGTACAGCACGCCTCCCAAGTCGAGACCCCACGGCCCTCCTGCCCAGCCTCCGCCTGCGGGACCCCTCCCTCCCATCCCCTATCCCAAGGTCACCACCGCAGTGCCCAAGTCTCGCCCCGCGATACCCACGATCCCCACGATCCAAGTCTCAGCGACCCCTCCGGCTGCAAGTCTGTCCCACAATCCCTCCCGGGAACGGTTCCAATCCGCCCTGGACCGCGTGCACGACAGCGTGTGGCACGGCTCGATCCGCGAGACGAAGCGCGAGCACGGCCAAGGCGGGCGCGACGCCTCCATGACGACGACGGGGAGTAAGGCGAGTATCAGCACGCAAGACACGCATGCTGTCGTGTTTCGCCGGTCGCGCGTCGCCCTGCCTCCCTCGACGAGTGTGGACGACGACATGGCTCTGACGTCGCTGCTCAGTAGCTGGAGTCTGGCCGGCGCTGAAGAGGAGGAATACGTGCTGCAGGATAACGAGTCGGGCGTGCTTGATACGCTCGACTGGTGGGATCCCGTGGTCATGGCGAGTCCTCCTTGAACCTAAAGCTTGCATCTTAACTGCAGACCATGACAAGTTGTACATAGACAGGAAAATAGATAGACCCGCAACATGTATCCTCCCCCTTGTGTGTGTGTGTGTAACAATAGTAGAGTGCATGCCAGGGCTCTATGTAGGAGTGTGGCGGTGCGGTAGACACATGAGCGAAGGTCATAAGGGAGTGTGGGCGGGGTTTGTGGTGGTGGTACAACAGAACTACATTTCAAAAGTGGAAACCCAAGAACAGAACGCTATTCGTACCGGACCAGCCGGTGTCTCCTTTAGTCGATAGTAAGCCTATTAGGACTAGCCGGGTTGCTCGAGACCGGCTTGAAAGTAGCAGGCGCGAGATCGGCCATGATGCCCGGCTTCCGTCCTTCGTCGACATGTTCCCTCAGCCCCTTGCCAAAGTTGAGCCACACGACGACGCCGTACCCGATACACAGGCAGATCATGACGAGACTCAGGGCCGAGAAGACGGTGAGGCTCTTGCGCACGCTGTAGTAGCTCTTGACCGTGTCCATGAGGCTGTTGCCCGTGTCGACATCGCGTGTGTCGATGAGAGGTAGGGCGCCGGCGCGGGCGAGGAGGGCAAGCGCCGCCCGTCGAGTATGTTTGTGATCATAGCCGAGCTTATAGTACAGCGCGACGTTCTGCCACACCCGCACAAGCTTGAAGATGAAGTACGCCATGCCTGCAAGAAGGCCGACGAGGAACACGCCCATGGCCACCCTCCATTCCCTTCGGGCACATACGAGGCCAAAAGCCAGCCACAGGAACGAAAGGGGCAGCATGACCCACGTGAGGACGTATTCGGGATCCTTGTTGTTGAGAATCAGGAAGAGGAACTGGATGTTGAAACTCATGAAGAAGAAGAAGGAGCAGCACACAATGCTCTCGAACACTTGGTATTGCCTGTAATAGGTGCGGATGCGCAGGTCGGCGCCGAGAAATTTGTAGATCCGCCAGCCGAACTCGCGCCAGACGAAATACGTCAGCACCACGATGATGACTTCTGCCAGCCCGATGACGCCGATCACGATGCCCGTGAGGATATTCAGAGGCAGGGTTAGGAGTTTATGTGCGCTGGCCACCTCCTCTGACGCCGGATACACGTCCAGCGTCTGTCGGATCTCGGCCACCTCGATGCCGGCATACACGAGCAGCATGGCGTTGAACACGGCCAGGGCTATCACTTGGATCGTGTTCCGCGTCCGGATCGCAAACACCGTCAAGATGAGCTGGACCAGATGCGCAGACACAAAGATGTAGAGGTAGATCGGGAGGCGGCGCGCATTGTAGTCGTCGCTGTCGACTGCGCCCGAGTGCTGCTCCTCGCTGTAGCGCCAGAGAATGTTGGCCTGGATCGCAACGTCGATCAGCATCTCGAGCGTCACTACCAGCAGGAGCAGACGGCATGCGTGGCTTTGCGGGATGAACTGGGTGTCAGCTGCGTCGACATGTATAGCTTGTGCCGGGGTGCGAGGTGGGGAGAGACTGGTGCCACGAACTGGCTCAGATCTGCACACAAGTGAAACCAGGACAGAGCGCGAATCACGCCGAGATCCACACTCTCCCACCCTTCACGCGTCACACGACTCCAACTCACTCGATCAAGCCACACGGAAAACTTGTTGCGTACTCGTCTCGGCTGCTCTGGAGCCGGCACGGCGCTCTCGCGCTTGCTCCCCAGTGTGGACGCTGACAGCCGGCGCTCGTCCTTCATCGCCTCGACGTCGGGGCGGTATCGCTGCTCGGTGCGGGGTGGATAGGTGAGCTGCGGGACGTATTCTCCAGAGCCATCGGGGGACTGCGTGTCAGCGAAGGCGACATGCACTTGAAGCTGCCGTCCAGCCCTCGCCTAGCCCTACGGGCTAGGCTGCGGGCCAGGCTTGGGTCGACTCACTCGCTGCGGCTCCGGCCCTCGGCCGAGGTAATCCGTCGCAATCGAGTGCAGCGGCGGATGGGCTGCTTCGGGGGAACGCATGTCGGAGGAAGTCTCTGATGGAGGAGGCGGGGGAAAAGGCGTGACGAGGGGTGCGGTGCTGGAGTCGCTGCGGTCACTCCTGTCACGAAAGAAGGCGGGGCGGGAGGCTGTCGCTGGCGTGGGCGAGGTGACGGTGACGACTGGTGCGGCTCTCGGTTCTGGGGACACTAAGACTCGCGCGGGTCGTTCTTGTCGCTGGGATGTTGCCAATGA